GTTATTAGCAACACCGAGCTGTTAAACGACTATTCAGAGGACTCTCTTTTTCTAAAAGAGAGTTTATTACAGGCAGGTGAAGTTCCTGCTTTTTTACTGGAGAGGAAACGTCCTGAGTGCAAATACTCATCAAAGGTAAGCTGTTTTTTTTATTTATTTCTGATCAGGAAAGAAATAAAATTTTGAGTCAAACCTGAATATCCAGTTTAACTCATTTAGTCCCAACATCTTTCTAAATATAGAGTCTAATTAGAGCCAATTACAAGGGGAGAACAGTCAGATCCTCCATGTTCATGCAGAGTCACACCTAGACCAGCTGGAGGGGGGGGTTAAATCTCTTTTTATTAAACACAAAAGTTAGAGTTAAATTCTTGGCTCAATATATAGATTTTGGTGAACTACTGTGCGTCTACCCACAAGATCAATAAGCAATAACACAATAGTGAGTTATTTATATACACATATCCATTTTAGACCATAAAGAAAAGGAAAGACAAAAAAAGTAGTTATCATGACAAATATAACTACAACCAATGAGTAGTAAAACAACATTAATATGCACGTGTTCCTTCCATACATACTAAAAGGGGAGAGAATAGCCTTAATTATTTAACTTCTGTAGGTCTTGGCCATCAGATTTCGATGGTCTACTTTTAGGGATTCTCAGGAAGTGTCTTGAGCTTTTCAAAATATTTTATCAATGTATTCCAAATACCATAAAAACTATCTTTGCATCCTCTTGAGGGGGGAGTTTCTGTTCAGATGGAGTGAGTATTAACTCCTAAAACTTCCCTATTTGGGGATGTGACCCCACTGGAGAGGGTTTGAAACAACCAGAATCAGAAATACTGTAATAATCCCGTATATAAATGTGTAATAGTTGAGAACAGAGTGTTTTTGTGGGTCTGTTCAGATCTCAAAGGCTCCGTGGTGGCGGCGTTTATCCCTAATGTGCCCAGACTCCCTCCTCGCCAACAGGTGGAACCGGTGTGTGGGATGAATTTGCATAGTCTGGACTACAAAACGAGCCCAGAGATTTCAGAGGATCCTCATTTTAATTTCACCGGCAGGGCGGCCAACTCCGACCGGAGCTTTGACCAGAGGCCTTTTTATTTATTTATTTTGGGGCGAAACTTTAACACAGAGGTAGGTGGAACCCGGCTAATTCTTCACCTGCAAACACACACACACTCACACACTTACACACACACACACAGCTCATTTGCCTGTGTCGGGTTCCACTCTGGGAGGAGTTTCCTGTGTTGTTCGTGGGCCAATCGGGGCGCGGGGAAGCAGGTCAGGTAGAAGGAGAGGACCTCAAAGAGAGCGACAACCGGGCAGAGCATAAACGCACACGGGGAGGTAAGACTCACACCCACACAC